AGCTCTTGTGCAGGTTCCCTGTGTATATTGTCATCTCTAGTAGGTACCTATAGTTTAGCTTGAAGATAGAAATCAAAAGGAGCAAGTTTGGGGCTGCTCTGCAGAAATCGTGTATACCGGACACGTCCGGTATTCATACCGGACCTGTCCGGTATTTTCTACCTGTGCTGAAAATATTTATTTTCTGTTTTAACTTTGTGTTGCAGGGTTGTAACTTCTAGATATATTCTTTATATCTTGTTTACTCTGTGGCTAACTTGTGAGGGGTGGTATTACTCTTAATTTGGAGTTTTCATTTTGGAAACTCCCTTTTCTATTTGCTTCCGCATTTAAAGGTGTTAATTTTTAGAAACGCCTATTCACCCCCCCCCCTCTAGGCGGCATCCTAGGTCCTTTCACCTGTCGCGATCAGGTCATCATTGCCGGTGAGTGGATAGACGACATCGTCGTCATCCACCATGGCGACCTTGACCGCGGACGGCTGATCTCCAACACTGTTCCTCAACGGTGCGCGCGGCCGCGGTGCCCGATCTATGCCATAGGAAGAGGACGACGAGGCATCGGCAACTGACCTGCACGGAGGAGAAAAACAGAGTAAGAGAGATAGATGTACAAATCCAAAGTCAGTGGAAGAGACACAAGAAGTGGAGAAGACAGATCTAGGGTTAGGGTCAGGGTTAGGGTTAGTGGAGTACCTGCACAACCGGAGCCCGGTGCCGGAGATGACGGGGGCCACCCAGAGGAGAGAGACTGATTAGAAACGACGGCGAACGGTGGAGGAGGGACGGACGGGAACACGGTCACGAACTCACATAGTTCACCGAGAGCGAGAGAGGAGAGAGAGAAGGGAGGAGAGTGGAGACAGGGTCAGATAGGCGGATCGAGGTCATCGGAGTCGGGGATGACGGATGAGATCAGTGGATCACGAGAGAGAGAGCTCAGATTCGCCAGATCGTGGATGTGGGCGAGAGAGAGAGAGCAGAGATTGCGCCGCGGCGAGCCGGTCGAGCTAGTGGGGATTAGGGTTAGGGTTGGGAGCGGACTGCGGAGCCGGCACCGGCGAGGCGACTAGGCGAGCAGGGATCGGCTGCGCCACGGCGAGCGAGTGGGGAACTGGAGATTAGGGTTAGGGTTGGGAGCGGAGAGCGGAGCGGACGAGGAGGCGAGGCGACTAGACTGAGTGCGGACCGCAGAGCGGGCGAGGAGGTGAGGCGACTGGGCGATTGGGCGAGCCACTTATATATGCGGGGGCGGGGCGCGGGGGGGAGGCCGGTAGGCGGCAGGCCGGGCCGATAGCGGGCCGTCTCGACTGTAGCAGGCCGTGCCGTGTCGGCCCGCGTGCCTGGGGTAAGGCCCAGGCACGGCCTGCTCCTCCGGGCCAAGCCAGCCCGGGCCCACTAGCCTCCGTGCCAGGCCGAGCCAAAAAAACAGGCCTTGGGCCGGGCCGACGGGCTCGGGTTGCATGGCCAACTATGGGTGGCGGTTGGGGGTCTAGAGAGAGAGAGAGAGAGAGAGAGGGAAGTCGGAGTGGGGGAGGAGAGCGGGTTGAATAAAAACACTCAAACATTTACCGGTGGGGCCCACGAGAGGGGTGTATATCGAAGATGGGGGTGTTTGGTGGTCTGTTGAAAGAGGAGAGGGAAAAAAAAGACATTACTAACAGTAGGAGATCACTATATAAACTTATAAGGGGTGGAAGATAAGTAATATGTTAAAATGCTAGATCACTAATAAACTTATAAGGAGTGGAAGATAAGTAATATGTTAAAATGCTATCTTTTATACGGCATTATATATATGAATGTGTGATATGGGATGGGTACTCTCCGCCGTTGAGATTAAGGAGTAACCACAACACAGGTTATGTAGGCTACCCAACACAAGAAAATACATATTCAGTCCATGGCCTTGTGTAGGCAACCAAACAAAATCCTAAATAATGCAATGAAGCCAATGTAGCCCAACCAAACACCACGTCATTGCATAGGGCTAAGCTGGACCGGCTTAACCTACGCTAGGGCCTTATGTAGAATACCTGTATGCGAATAATGAATCAGACCCTAATCGATTCCCTTAGAATAGAGAGTGACATACTAAAGTTTTGATAGCACACCATTTGAAAACCCATTTGGGATGTACTCGCTCCGTCAAAAAAGAGTACACATCTCATGTTTTGAGGATCCAACCAAATTTCAAAAATATATATAAACTATTAATTAATATCTATAATAACAAATGAATATCGTTGTATAATCATGAAATATATTTTATAGTAAACTAATATAAAGATACAAATGTTGATACTATTTTTTATAATCTAGTCAAATGTAAAATTAATTGTCTCCTTGAAACGAAGATACAAATGTTGATATATTTTTTATAATCTAGTTGAAATTAGAATCAGTTGTCTTCTTCTCGTAAAGTAAGATGTGTACTCCCTTCATTCAAAAAGAATGATATTTTAGTTTTAAATCTAGACAAATCGTGTTCTTTTTTTGGGACGCACAAACGATTCGAATCTCTCGGACGCCAAGTTAGTCATGGATTGGGCAACATGAGAATGTTACTACGCACACGGCACACATGATTGGATACCCTGTCACTGTCACTGGTGTCATAAGGAATTAGTACTACGCATCGTGCTTAAGTGCTTTTTACTCTTGTACTCCTGCGCGTGTTCTAGAGTCCAAAAGCAACATGTCATTGTTTGCATGAATAGACCGGCTAAAAATATCTCTGCCTGCTCACAAGGAACACATCATTGTACTCGACCGGTCCTGGAAGAAGATCAAAAGCGAAGGTGGTGAAACCGTAAAAGCGAAAATTGACAGCACGAGACGCTAAGCTTACGTGTCTCAATACTATTTTGGTATTTGTTTTGTAGTGAGAAAATCAGATATTTTTTCAATTATCTAAAACAATGTAGGGGTATTTGTTTTGTGAAATAAAGTGGTCATCTCACTCTCCCATCGCTTGGCTTGATTCAGGCATGCGTTGCTGCCGCCTCGATCAGATCTTTTTATTTCGCAGAGCTTGCGGCGCCCTGACTCGAATGACAGCTCTGGCATGTCGACCGCTGCCAAGTTTTGGCTCGGCTTCGGGTGCAAGCGAGCGTTGCCTTCATGTAGTATGTCGTCCTGGACGTCGACGGACGATGGCGTTCTCCGCGGCCAACTCATCGTTGATGTCGATAGTTCAAATGAGAGCCCGTCATAGTCTTATTTGCAAAGTAGATTGCATGAACCTTATTCTCTTTGTGCCCTATTCTTCGGTTAGAGTTGAAGCAAATACGGAAGTGGTAAAGTTTCTCTGGCGTGTTTGGTACATGTCGCTGCATGGCATGCCACCGCCATGGCTGCGCAAAAAGTGTTATGGAGATTCGTCGGCTGCACCTTAAGTAGTTTGTGGTGTCAAAAATGAACTACGGCATGGTGGCGAGGCCACGCCATGCCGCAAATTCGACAGAACACACGCCGGAACTTAGGCACGAAAGCTAGGGCGCGCGGCATGGTAAGTCATGGCAGTGAACCAAACGCTCCCTAAAACTCTGACATTCGACAAAACTAGTCAGATTTAATTTGGGAGAGATGACATCAGTGTCTCGAGTCCGTGATGCTCAATCTAGATCTATGACTCAATATATAAAATCCTTGAAGACACAAGCCAACCAAATGGTCAAAGGTCTGGTTGTACTACCGGAGTGCATCAATAAGGATACATGATGTCTTCGTTGTATCTGTCGGACCTGACTAAGCGGATATAGGATAAAAGGAGCGTATTTTTCAACCGCTCGTGCAACTTCACCGAACACATTCTTTTTTGAAATACGGTTTCGTTAAGCCTACGCCCTTTCATCCAGATATATAATACAATCTCCATTCAACAACTAAGCACACTCGAAGCTATCACAACTTTGCATGTACTAGTGTTACACATGACCCTGTTCGTTTCGCTGAAGTTTGGCTTATGCTAAAATGTCGTAAGAGAAAAACACTATTCATTCGTTGGAAAAGTACTGCTGAAATAGTACTGTAGAACATGACGAATATTTAGTTCTGTGTGGCACACAATGATGCCTTGTCCCTGACAGCCCGGCCATATAGCAGCACCATCCACCAGGGTACCATCTACAGAGGTACAAACGGTCAAATATGGACATATTATACCTACGAATACGAATAAAGATAGCTATAATCTTTTTTGATTCAGATACGAATAAGATATGAATAGATCAATAACATATACAACCGATTTAAGTATTTGAATATGGATACAATATGTGAATCTTCTAACTTGATATGTATGGAACATATAGGTACCTTTTCAACACAGTTCAACGGGACACATGGTATGGACGCACTGCATGGCGAGAAAATGTACATTCTTTTTAGAACATAGTTCTGCTAATCAATGTATGGCCCGAATGGCACAGAAGGAACAAGGAAAACATATAATATAAGCTAAAAATAATGGCACTAAAGGAACACTAATTTTCGCAACATCTATCACGCGATGGGTCACGCGCGATTGCATCACACGACCACTCACCGACGGTTGTAGAAGAGGCTTTGGGCGGTGGTCGTGACACGACGGTGGTGGCAGACGAGACGGCGGCCGGGTGGTGGGAGACGGCGATTGGGTAGGACTGGCGGTAGGGACGTCGTGAGGGAGCGGTCGCCGGCGGCCCTGTGGTTAGGGGAGGGAGGGTTGAGGAGTAGGAGTGAGAGACGGGTGGCGTGGCGAGGTGGTGGGAGCCGCCGGTTGTGAGCAGTAGAACCGTGGAAGTTTGAGACAGGGGCGGGGACGAGGAAGGACGGGGACAGCGGGTTCTCCCTATTTATGGCAGCAATTTTCTGAGAAAGAGAAACTTGTTATTTTTTAGCCCAATAGCCTCCACGAAGCCCAATAGCCCGTGAGACCGCCACCTCTTATCCCTCTCGCTTTTTATCTCTCTTGCTCCGCTCCGCCCCGCCCCTCGGCGCGATGCAGAAGCAGCCTCCATGGCGCCTCTGCCTCTCCCACTCCCCCTTCCCGCCTCCATGATCAGTCCCCACCCTTACAAACTGCACGACGCGCCAAGGCCCGACGCCTCTTTGCACGCCGCGCTCGCCTCCTTCTCGCAGCAAGCCCACGAGGGCGGCCTCCGCGACGCGTTCGCACTGGTCGCCCGCGCCGAGCGCCAGTCCTCCCCCGCCGCGGCCGTTGCGGTGGGTCCGGAGGTGTACACGTCGCTCCTCCAGTGCTGCGTCACGGCCGGGTCCCTCCGCGCGGGCCGCCAGGTGCACGCGGCGCTCGTCAAGCGCGGACCCTACTACTGCCGGAACGCGTACGTCGGCACCAAGCTCGCCGTCTTCTACGCGCGCTGCGGCGCCCTCGACGACGCCGAACGCGCGTTCGGCGCACTCCCGGAGAGGGACAGGAACGCCTTCGCGTGGGCCGCCGTCATCGGGCTCTGGAGCCGCGCGGGGCTGCATACCAGGGCGCTCGCGGGGTTCGTCGGCATGCTCGAGGCCGGCGTCCCCGCGGACAACTTCGTCGTTCCCACCGTGCTCAAGGCGTGCGCGGGGCTCGGCCTGGCCGGCGCCGGAAGGGCGGTGCACGGGTACGCGTGGAAAGCGGGCGTGGCTGAATGCGTCTACGTCATGAGCAGCCTCGTGGACTTCTACGGGAAATGCGGGGAGGTGGAAGACGCGAGGGCGGTCTTCGACGCAATGGCTGAGCGGACCGTGGTCACCTGGAACACGATGCTTATGGCGTACATAAACAATGGAAGGATCGACGAAGCCGTGGAGCTGTTTTACGAGATGAGGGTCGAGGGCGTGCTGCCGACGAGGGTGAGCATCGTGAGCTTTCTTTCCGCATCAGCCGATCTTGAGGCTATTGATGGGGGAAGGCAGGGCCATGCAATGGCAGTTTCAAGCGGGCTGGAGATGGACGTGATTTTGGGGAGCTCCATGATCAACTTCTACTGTAAGGTTGGCTTGGTGGAGGCTGCCGAGGCAGTGTTTGAGCAGATGAAAGAGAGAGATGCTGTGACTTGGAACTTGATGATTGCTGGGTATTTTCAGGACGGGCAGATTGACAAGGCTTTTGACACTTGTCGAAGAATGCTGGAGGCTAACCTTAAGTTTGATTGCGTGACATTGGCGTCCATTATTATGGCTTGTGTAAAGTCTTGCATTATGTTGGTGGGTATAGCTGCTCATGGTTATGCAGTCAGAAATGGTCTTGATTCAGATAAGACGGTTGCCAGTGGCCTGATAGACTTGTACGCGAGTACTGGGAGGATTGAACACGCACATCGAGTGTTCAATGCCACGAATCCGAGAAATTTGGTCATCTGGAAAGCAGTGATTTCTGCTTATGTCGATTGTGGCATGAATTCTGAGGCTCGGAATCTTTTGAATCAGATGCAGCTCGAAGGCATATCCCCAAGTGCAGCATGTTGGGATTCAGTAATCTCTGCTTTCATACGGAATGGCCAATTTGAAGATGCTCTAGATATATTCAGTGAGATGCTTCTGACGAAAACGCGGCCCAATCTGCGCACCTGGAGCTTGTTAATAAGTGCCTTATCCCAAAATGGCATGCATCAGGAGGTAACAGATATATGCTGCAAGATGCAGGAAGTAGAGTCAGCACCCAGTCCAACAATCTATTCATCTTTGATCCTTGCTGTTAAAACAGCAGCGTCTGAAGATTACGGGAAGGCAATTCATGCTTGTGTTGTTAAAAAGGGTCTGCTGCTGTCCAAATCCGTGATACAGTCACTTCTGAACATGTATAGTAGATTTGACGACAGAGGCACAATGGATGGTTTACTAAGACTGCTTCCTGAATCCTGAATAATAAAGTACATAACATACAATGCTCCCGATGCTATAGGGTATGCAACTGTACATGATTATACCAGGTTGCACATACTGAAGTATTCATCATCAGCGTGGTTGGAAAGTAAATATCTAATGTTGCTAACACAGACAGGTTTGTGCTCAGCAACATACACTTTTGGTATGGACTATGCATCCATTGCAGAGGAATTTTGTAGGGATCAGAAGGTTCCAATCAGGAAACGAGCACCTGGAAGAGCCCGGGCCAGCAAGAAAACAGTGCTGCTGTTTGTTGTTGTGCAGAGCTCACTCTAAAGCTTGAAGGTACTGATGTTTGAACTATTTGCAGAAATGTCGCACTGTGACTATGGATAACATGTTGGGAGGTGTTGCCCTTTTGTTATTTCTGCCCAGTTTGCCCAATTTTGGATCAAAATCTACACTCTGCTGGGCCTTTTTGGGAATTGTCAGAGTACTCTATGGGCAAACTGCTGTTGCAGTCCTTGTTACAGTTGAGACAATACAACAATAATATACCCATACTGTGAAGTGTAATTAGCTCACACATATCTTTTATTCTTTTGGTAAAAGTTAGAAGATTTTGCTGCGTGAGTCTAGATTTTCCAGATCTGCAATTCTTGATAAACAATAAACTTACACCATTGGCTGTAACTTTCAGAAAAGCTGTTTTTGGTGACCCTGCATTTGAACTGGACACATAGTTGGACATAGTTATATGGCATTGCACAGACTGAAATATCCCATATTCATCAACAGTGTTTCTGAAGTAGATATCTAGTGTGGCTAACACAGACAGGTTGTATGAAGTAACATCTCTTTCACGCTTATGCTGACATCGCTGATGCGGAATGGAGTCTGGATCTGCCTTTGAGTGGCATTTTCATGAGGTCAGAAGGTTCCAATCAGAAAACGAGCACCCTACAGAGGCACGGTGCAGCGTGCAAACAGCGGCACTGTTTGTGTTGGCATCCTCTGAAAGCTTGCAGCTACAGATGTTTGAATTATTTGCACAAAAAAGCGTACTGTTTGGCTAATGAAATGTATATCGTGTTGACTGTTGTGAAATGTGCTGCAATTGTGATGGCTGTCCAGTTTGCTCAATTTGGGATCAGCAGGCTGTACACTCCCTGCTGGTCCCTTTTGGGAATTTCAAAAGGCAAGGTTGATCTAGATGCTATTGGCTAATTACTGTCCTGACAAGTGACAATAGATTAACTATATACATCCATACTGAGAACTGTAATTACCGCTGTACTGTACGCATTTTTTTTAATATAAAGGAGCAGAATAATTGCAAGAATTATTTATTCTTTTTGTCAGATGACAAATAGATAGTGCAGGAACATATGATCACTTTTACTGCGTGCTGTCGATTTTCGGAATCTTCACACTTTTGCAATGTCGTCAGATGAACACAGATCTTATATATACAAATATAATCGACCGTAACTCCTTCCGTTTGCGTTTACGGGATCTGGTGAGGAAGAAACGAAGAAGCCATCAGAAAAGAGTTTGAAGAACAGTGGGCTGGCAAGAGCAGTGGCTTGAGCTTTATCATCCGGGACGCCCGCTGCGCCGGGCGAGCAGGAGCAGGGTTGCCTTGCCGCTCGACGGCTGGCCGCTTTCGACACGCGGCCCAGGGCGAAAGGCAGGGCGGGCCAGGCTTTAGCAAGGCGCCACGTGAGGAGTGGGCGCCCCTCCCGCCCAGTGCGGAGGCACGACGGACGATGGCGGGGAGCCCAAGCGCAGCCCCACCGTGTGTCTCCGGCGGGGAAAAGCCCAGGTTGCCGTTCCATCACCCGTCCTCCTCCTCCTCCTAGTATATGAGAGGACTAGCTACTCTCTGTCACTCTGCCTGCTGCCCCAGTTGCCCTGGTGCGATTTTGGTTTTGTTTAGACGATGGTTGAGAATCGTGGTGCGATTTTGTCTCTGTTTTACTGGGAGGCTTCATTTACATTTAATCTTGGGAATGTACCTGCTTGGAATCTAAACAAGGCTTTTGTTCTGTTTTTCTGGGAGGCTTCAGGCTTGGGAATGTACCTGCCGGAGTACTCGTAGATCCGATCATGAGCTGCCCAGTGGCCACTGGCCAGCGAACCCGGGGCCTGCATGGGCCATCGCGCCAGGACACAACACAGCCCCCATTCACCAGTTCTTCATCATCAGAAGAATGGCTCGTCCCAATATACATGCCTTCTTCAAAGGCAAGGCCGGTAAACGCATCTTTCTCGAGGAAGCGACGAGTCCCGGTCCATCCCCACAGGGCACAGGACGGTTGCCAGGACAGGGGGCGCAGCGAGCCGCTGGAGTAGGAGTATGGCATGGGGCACACAGAGAGAGCAGTACAGGACATGGACGGGATGGGGACGCCGATGCAGGACGGACGACGAGGCAAGACCTGGAGTGAAAACGCCCGGTCAGCCAGGCTAGCGCGCCGGTCCCGCGCCCTGTCGGATTTGAGCAAGTTGTTGGGTCGGGGGGCGGGGCAAGCAAGCTACCCAGCTTTCATCTCTCCCTTTGTTTAGTTGCACCCTAAAACTTTATATTATATCGCATCGAATGTTTAGACACATATATAGAGTATAATATAGACTAAAAATAACTAATTACATAGTTTTACGACTAATTTACGAGACAAATCTTTTAAATCTAATTAGTCCATAATTTGACAATAAAGTGCTACAGTAATGCATGCGCTAATGCGGCTTAATTAGGCTTAATAAATTTATCTCGTGGTTTACTGACCGATTCTATAATTTGTTTTTTTATTATTATCTAGACACCACGTACAATCCCTATGTAACATACGATGTGACACATGTAACTTCAGGGGCTGAATCTAGACCGCCGCTGATTCGCGAGTCGTGCCCGGTAGAATCACGAAGAGAAGAGATGGTGTCTCCACGTGGTCTCAGGCTCAGCTCAGGGCTCAGGTCGTTGTGCGCGCACAGTGCACCCGGGCCACACATTTCACATGGCACAGCCACGAGCCCAAGAGAACGCCCGTTCCTGTTTGACTTGTCTCGACACCGGCCCCTGCGTTGTGTTGCGCTGCGGCCGCGGAGTTGGAACAAGAAAATCTTTATCCATTACGCACTGGGCTTCGCCGATCGGCCGAATAGCTTCTCCAAGAAATGATGTGAAAGCAATGTAGCTTCACTGTCACGCCGTGAGTGAAGGGCAAGGCATTTCATCATAGGCTTGAGTTTGAGTGACAGACAAGCGAGCGGCAACAAGAGGTTGGTGGTGGGGCACGTAGTATGGAATGAAGCCATAGAGGCCTGCCGATGATTAGACTCGCTTGCTGCTAGTTTGAAGCATCAGTCACAAAGGAGGAAGAGAAGCTGAAGAAAAATTACACTTTTTTACTTGGATGAATGAAGCCTGAAAGAGAGAGAGTGGGGAAAAAAAGAAAATTTGATCCAACAAAACAATGCCCAGGAAAGAAGAAAAAAAAGCGAAAAGAAAAACAAAGAAGGAACAGAATACCACTGTCCAATGACATACAGGCACCACGAACCTATGCAATTTAATCAGGCCAAGAAGAGAACCTTTACCCTGCTTGCTAGCTGCGTCACGGCGTCGGGGCGGCTGGCGGCGTGCCCCCGGACCGCGACCGCTCCTCTTCCGACGTGCCCCGCACGCCCTCGCTCTCCTCGGTCGTCGTCCGGCCACCGTGGCCGCCGCCGATCTCCTCGATCATCCGGACCACGTCGGGGGCGTCCGGCCGCGCGTCGGGGACGGTGGCCACGCACGCCATGGCCACCTGCAGCAGCGCGACCATCTCCTCCTCGGCGCTGGCGCCCAGCCGCACCAGCTCGACGTCGAACACCTCGGCGGTCCACTCCTCCCGCACCACGGACTGCACCCACCGGGGCAGGTCCAGCGTGCCGTCGCCCTCCAGCGACGCGTGCGAGGGGGACTTGCCCGTCAGGAGCTCCAGCAGGAGCACGCCCAGGGAGTAGACGTCCGACTTGAACGTCAGCCGCCGCGTGTCCACCACCTCCGGGGCGCGGTACCCGCCGGCCCGCGTCGTCGACGGCGCGAACAGCTGGTGGAGGCTGAAGTCGGACAGCGCCGCGGCGTCGGCGTCCGGGCGGAGCAGGACGTTGGAGGCCTTCACGTTGCCGTGCACCAGGTTGTGCACCGTGTGCAGCTGCGCCAGCCCGCGAGCGGCGGACAGCGCGGACCGCATGCGCGCCTCCCAGTCCAGTGGCGTCCGACCCGAGCCCCGGCTCCCTGCGCGTGGATGCACAAAACTCCCGTCAGAAAGCTGATGGACATAGGCAAATTAATTAGCAAAACAGCAGCACATTTCTTATAGTTCACGCGCCTGAGCAGTTTTGTCTTTGTCCCTCCATAGAAAAAAAAATATAACTTGTTTATTGTGATTTATGCTAATAGATTTGGACCGTTGGATGGAGATCTGATGGTTATTAGTTGTCGCCTAAATAAATGTTAAATTTCAGGCATCTAAAATATAGCATATCCCAACCAGCAAAGAAATACTCATATAAATTTTTGCAAAGATCAATTAGTGCCTGTTTAGTTCCTAAAATTTTACAAAAATTTTCAAGATTCCCCGTCACATCGAATCTTTAGATGCATACATGAAGCATTAAATATAAATAAAAAATAAAACTAATTACACAGTTTAGACGAAATTCACGAGACGAATATTTTAAACCTAATTAGACTATGATTGGACACTAATTGCCAAATAACAACGAAAGTGCTACAGTACCATTTCCCAAAAAAATCGCCAGGGTCCAGTTTAGTTCCCTCCCAAAATGCCAAATTTTTCAAGATTCCCCGTCACATCGAATCTTTAGACGCATGCATGAAGCATTAAATATAAATAAAAAATAAAACTAATTACATAGTTTAGACGAAATCCATGAGACGAATCTTTTAAGCCTAACTTTGGATGCATACACGAAGCATTAAATATAAATAAAAAATAAAACTAATTACACAGTTTAGACGAAATTCA